AGGAAAATGAGCGCTGTCAGCAGAGAACTGTACAGAAACATAACTTCCGAGGAACGTTGTCTGATAAACTATGAAATGAACTGTTTAAATGTGCTCAATCTATGCAGACAGCAACGCGAGCTCTTCACAAAACACCGCCCGGATTATCAAGCCAGGGAAGATGAAATAAGCACAGAATTAACACTCATGGTGTTAAGTCCGACGGAAACATTTGAAACATGCAAGCGTAAATGGCACGATATTGCTAAAGAACTTAGTGGGAGAGTGTGGAATATTTTCATTCGGCTCAGAAAAATGATCACTGATGAGGGCATGTAAACACATGACAATTTCTGCTGGCCCTCGCCAACGCAGTCATTTTCGGGTCTTGAGTCTCGTGAGACTACTGACCACATTTTACTCTCTCCTTTTCGTCACCTCCTATGACTCGCATGGTTACAGACGAGATATCCGACCCTGCTTCCACACGGGTTACTCTAACTGGACTGACCCAGTTGTCTTCTTTATAACCACTTTGCACAGACCGAATGGGAAACACAGTTTCCAACAATACCTCTCTTGTTGTAGACACGTATTTACCGATAAGTTGCTTAGAAATGTTTTGCATAACATCGATGTTCTATTGCTGCATTCGTGTATGTTGTTTACGTTACCTAGCAACGGTCGATGTTCACAGAGTCATTGCTTAGCAACGGGTCTATACGGAACAATATGATACGTTCCGACTCCTGGTGGCATATTCAGATGATTTTCAGCTGTTCCTTAGTATCGATATTTTGTTCAGTATTATCAGTCTTATAAGCTTTCTGTTGTACGTCTGCTTATTGGAATGATTTAATTTGTTGTAGGCATGCATCAGGCACATGATTGTGCACCCTCTTTAATAATATCCTATAAATTATAATTTCTAGTGAAGTACTTTTTCCCCCCTTGGCACTACAGCTCCAGTGGGCCTAGGCCTACCTCCATGAACTTCTCCGAGTGTAGTACATACCCCATTTTAATTGAGAAACGTTGCGAGATATCTCCTGCAGTGAATCGATACGAAGCAGTCTGTCTGTTCCACACTAAACTGATATGCAGATTCAGATACGAAACATGCAGACTTACTGCTATGATCCTACCCTGATTGTGTGTTCAAATTACATTTTATGCAGGAACACAACAAAACCGCGAGACTAAATTTGCAAATGTGTTTATATCTCGTCAGCAATCATTCCAGTTACGGACCTAATTCGGTGATAAGCCTATTTATTCTTTCTCTTTAAGTACGAGTATTTAAGCGTAAAATTAATAAACAAAGTTAAATTTCCAAGGAAGTTAACAACAGATTACATTTGGAGAAGTCCATCCGGTTAAAAATTAGTTTACTTGTACTGCACAGCTGTGAGTCACCATAGGCGAAATACCTCATACATGGTTTACTGTGGGATCACGGGCGGTGTTTGAGAACATTTGGATCTAAGAAACTGTAAGGGGATCCAGACAATGTTTATCAGCAGGGCCCGGATTTTGATGACCTGAAAATATTAAAAAAATGACATAAAACGACCGAAAAAATCCAGAAAAATTACCTAAAGGAGAAAAGAAAGAACGCTTCGCTTCCATGTTATTCACATTTCAGAAAACATGAAGAAAAATTCCCTAAAATGACCAAAAAGACAAGAAATACCCTTAAAAGTCCAAAAATTTTCCAAAAAATTACCCCCAAAATGAAAAAATGACCCTAAACCTAAAAATGTCAAAAAATGACAAAATATTACCTACAAAATTTACATTTGTGTAACCAGCAGCCCATATCCGAGATTTATGTGTATATACGTGTATTTAAGAGCATCGCATAGGGTACAAGGAAAAAAGATGACATGTCATCAAAATCCGGGCCCTGTTTATCAGACATCATTTGAGAAAGAAAATCGAGGGCAATGAGATATATGGAAATTTAGAGCGCATGAGGGAAGTGAAATACTGCATTCAAAAAATTTAGTTGGAAAAAGTGAAGCAAAATCAACACTTGCGAGTCCTACGCCTAGAGGGGCGTGTACTATTGCAAGGGATCTCAAAGAAACAGGGCTTCTAATCGCAATGTTACGAAATACCGTGTTTAATGTCATTTTCGTACTTCGAAAATTTACACAAATGCTTAGGCGCAATGATACAGTGCTCTGGACATGTTTAATATACATTTAATATAAAAACATCGAGAAGTCGGATTTAAACAGGAACCGTTGAGACTGAGGGGATTTCCAGATTTTCAGCTCATTGTCTTCGCGAGAAATTTCCCTTATAATTTATGTATACCCATCGCTTCACTCAAGAGCAAATATACCGTCTCAGGTTTAACGACAAGCTCAGGGAAATGCCTTTCAAAACGAGGTTACATACTGCATAAGCTTTTAACTTGTTAATATACGTGGACTGTATCCGTTATCCCGCTGTAAGCTACAGCTCTGACGTAACAGCTACAGACTTCTCTGAAATTCCGAAAGACTACTGAATAAACAGCAAAAATATTTACTTTTCCTCAACCTGGAACCTTTGAGATCAATTAAGATTGCTATTTTCTGGAATGTGACGCCGTATAATTAGATAAATGTCTACAATTGTTTCAGAGAAAACCAAATATTTTTAAAATGTCAGTAATATAAAATATGAGATATATTTAAATTAATGAACAGTTAATATCCAACACGTTATCAGTCGGTCGCTCTGCAAGAACATAGGCTGAAGTGCACTGGAAAGCCTGAGAATCATCAAGAGTTGATGTTCTCATAGTTCTGTCATCAGGGATATAATTTCATGACGCCCGGTGAAAGTCAGCATTCGTTTCGGAGAAAGATATCACATCCTCCTTCATATCCTAAGATTAAGCCAAGTAAAGCTGAGCTTGTTGCCTGCTTCGTGCTGGTTTCTTACTAGGTTTACTCTTAGACCTGAAGATAAAAATTTTATTCTCCCTCGAAGCATCTATTGATTTTCACCATACTGTACGGAGATGTACTCCTGAAGACTGAGAATTGTTGGATGATCCATCTCAAAGCATCCTACCCAGTTTATTAAATATTCCCTTAAAAGAAATGCAAGGTAAATATTAGGGTAAGGTAAAGCTATCCCTGCAACAGGCCATGAAGGCCCATAGGTTTGTGAGACGTCGAGGTGGTAAGGTTGTCAAGCTTTACGCGCCGGCCGCCCTTTACCCCCCACGAAGATACGCAAGTGACGTGAATAAGTTCTAGTCTGCCTGAGGTGAAACTGAATGAGTTCTGCATTAATTAATTCATTCATCTGTAATCTGTTAAGACGACAGGTCCACAGTCTCTTCCAAAACATTTCCTCCACTTAATGCAATCTAGAACTTTCTCCTTCAAATGAAAATATCCTCTTCTGTCCCCAAGGTCATCCAGCATCTTCTTACGTCTTCTTCCTCCTCTTCTGGTCACTTCTATCCGCCCCTCTATCTTTCCTTCAATAACTTCTTTTAGAAGACAGTTACCGCGTAAGATATGACCAATCCAGTTAGCCTTCCGTTTTCTTCTTTCGTGTAGGATATTCCTCTGCCCACTGACTCTAAATAACACATTTCTAACATAATCGGTCCAACTGATCTTCTCCATCCTTCTCCAACACCACATTTCGAAGCTTTCCAGATATTTCTGATCTGCATATGAGAAAAAAAAATAATTTACTCTGCTGTTAATTTTTATTTTTGCTTATAGTAATTTCTAAACATATTATCATGTGTTGGTGATTAGACATGGGGTTTGGATTCAAACTGGATTTATTGAACAATTATAACTTGTGAATGCAGTTAACGGTAACAGTTTCACGGATCTACACACCCTAGAAATCACTGTACTGCAGCACACATAAAGTCTTCCCAGGTTTCACCAGTCGTTGCCTGGTAACGGGTCACAATAATTCAGATTCCTCAGCCTCCGTACTCGTATTCTTACCGATGATGGCTGTCTCGTAATTCCTCATGACAGCAGCTCCTAGCCGTGACTGGCTAATCTTAGTGAGAATTAGATTTACTTTAGAACAACCAATCAGTTTTGTGGCCGAGCCTCTTCACCCTCATGTCCATACGGCCATACTCCTTGCAAAGCATCTGTATGCCGCGTTATACGGCCTTGACAGGGAAAGCACAGAAAACGCCGTTTCCAAAAGCTTCGCTATTGTTGCATGCTTATCCGTTGCCATAGACACGTGTTTATCGAGCTATTGCCTAGCAACAGCTGTCTCCTCTGGCTCAAATATTCCGCCTTTCAGGTGTCATGTCACAATATCTATGTAATTAGAATTACATTTCTTGTGATGTTTTCATTCATTTAAGGGCTTCAACTACTTAAAACACTTGGAACTGTTGAAAATTAATATAAAAAAAAGTTCCCAAAAAGGTGGACACTTGAGAAATTAAATGGACGATTAAAATTTACAGTAATTTTAGAATGACATGTTGTGAAAATGCACTAAAACAAACCACGTTTACTAACTTAAAAACTACTACTTAACATGCGTGAGCGATACATTTTGGGTCCGCGGTGGTAAAATGGCATGTGATTCACAAACCACATGCTCCTACTTTCTTGTTTTATTGAAATACGCGACTTGCTTTTTACTCAGAGCAGTACACACTTGTATTGTGAATGGACAACTTATTGCACGAACACACACGTAAACATGTTCCCCAAATTCAGAAAGCGAGTGGAGTGTGCGAAACGCCCGAATGTGGTAACAAACAAAAAGAGAAGGAGGCAAGCACAACATGTTTGGGTGGATCTGTAAGCACGAACATTTCCCCTCTTCCGTCCTACAGTTTACATCCATCTCTAGTTATCATCAAGAAGGAAGAATACAATGTCAAGGTCTGATTAGAATTATGTGTGCAAGTACCCCACATTTCTCCTTCCACTTGACTAAAATGGTCAGAGTAGAACTTGAATCCTATACCACTGCATTTTCTCTCGGTATATAAGAAGTCCACGTAGAGAACCGGTACCCAGTTTTGAGACTACATCCATACCTAACACGGCACCAGAAACGATCTGTCGGAAAACATGGCATCCGGAATCACGGTCAGTGATGTTTGTTTATCTATATATTTATTTGCATATGTTCATATTTCTTATGACTGAAGTACATTCACTAGTTAGCCAGTTAATGTCATGAAACGTGAACAATTTGAAGACCAAGTAGTGAATTAGGACACGAAAACTTTGCGGAATGAAGGATGGGTTTATTTATTTCGTAACCAGATCTAGAAGCAGGCTTATTTTTTGCGAAGATTGATATTTTGATATATTGAAGTGACTTTATTAATGAGTTACGTGTTTCTTGTTCTGCTGATTCATGCAGAGTAAACAGAAACTCAGCTTACATAAGCATTATACCCTATAAGCAGATACCAGTAGATCCTAAAGGGCCTCTGACGGTGGTGTATAACGTTCGGAATTGGGTTTTTGGGGATATTATTCGTCGTCCTGCATTTTAAAAAGTACTAAAGTTCATAATGTTTGGGAAACTGGAACCGTTTCTGAAACGCTGTGTTCTTGAGTAAATAAGTGTCTCCTCTCCTGAGGAAGGAAACCGATCCGATTTCCGAAGATTTGTGTTTTTAAATGTTTTTTAGACTACAGGACGATGGGCAGAGACCAAAAACGCAGCAATTCCAAACGCATAATCTTGAATAATGAGCAAGCAGATAAAATCTTACATGACGATTCTTGACTCAATTACCGTAGAGTAAAACTGTAAACAAGTTTGCGGGTTTATGAGTTTACGTTTGCTTATGGAGTTTCTTTTTAGTCTATCGTTGTTGGAATAGATTACAGGAGAACACGTGCACAGAAATAATTTAGAAACTCGACCATTTCGGAAAGCACTTTAAACTACAACGTAGAACTGCTTTGCTGTGTTTTGTCGTGCCTCGTTTATTACCTGCTTATGTCAATGACTGAATGAATAATTGACAAACGTTGTTCGACTTTTGCAGATGGTTTCCAGACAGACAGTACAAAGTTCAGATCCCACAGTCAGCTTACTAAAGCTGCTTTCAATAGGATTTTTGTGTCCTAGGTCTGTTAAAGCGGTCAGTGTGTAGCGTAAAACCAGGATCTGTTGCGTTAAAAATATTCCAGCGAAAATTATTAAGAAATGACTTTGGAGGTTAGAGACTACTGCTTAAAATTGTGCTGTCCTAGTACTGGTGTTTATTAAGTTACTTGCCCCACCTACTACTCGGCGCTACAGCTCTTGGTGAGCTTTGTTCTCCACTACAGCCGGTCTCCACTGCTCTCTGTTCCTCATCTTCTCTTTGCATCCTTTCGCCTTCATCTTCTTCAGGCCGCTGTCAACATCGTCTGGCCATCTCATCCTGGGCCTTCCTTTTAACACTCTCTTTGGCTTTGCATTATCTTCCATTCTTTCCACATGTCCCAACACTCTTATACTTTGTGACTTGATAATCTTACTGCATCTTCTCCTTTCAGTAATGTGTTTACCCCTTCATTGTATCTTATCCTCCATTTATATTATTTTCCATCACTGGTCCGTATATTTTGCGTGTTATTTTTCTCTCGAACATTCTCAGTGTATTCTCTCCTGTTACTGTCAAGGCCATGTTTCTGCCCCGTATGTAGCAATAGGTCTTATTGTTAGTTTGCTTATTTTTAATTAATTATCTGTTTACTCAAATATTTACACGTGTATTGTTATTAATCAGCTAATATATTAAGGATAATTAACAGTGTCAGTTATTGAAAATAAATTGTGCGATTGGCTTATCTTTTACCGAGAACATTTTATGAATTCTCGGTAATACAAAAACACAACTCGGCCATTACGACTCTAACGAGAGCTCCAATAACTTGCAATTAACTGAACACGTTTTTCATTTGTAAACAAAATCAAATATTTCGTAACAAGCTTTTTCTCTTACGGTGAGTAGTTGTTAGCTCCACGTCCAACCCCAAGGCTGGTGAGCAACCCTTTGTCGGCTGCCCGCGACTGCTTATTCAATATATTCGTAGCTTCCCTCCTTACATGGAGGCCGTCTCGTCTGTCCGCAATCTGAGGACGCGCCGTGCCGTGGTGACAAGGGACCTGTCTTGGGCTCCGTGAAGTTGGTTTAGTTAAACGAAATCAGATTCACATCTTCCAGACGAAAATGAAGGAGACGCACGCAAAACATCTGCGTAGAGAAAAGTAGGGCGGTCACTCTTACGAGTACTCCAACACCTGAAAGCCTACAAGTGACTGCATCACTTGAAGTACACACATTTTAAGACCAGTACCTGGCAAATCAGCAGACTGCAGGACAGACTCAAAATATAAAGTGTATATAGGCATTATCCGATCACAGTGGCCGCGCGGTCGAAGGCATAAACTGTCGTGGGTTCCAATCCCACTCAAAGCATGGATATGTGTGTATGTTTATATTGTGTTTGTGTTGTCCTGTGTGTAGGTAGCGACCTTGCGACAGGCTGATAACTCGTCCAAGGAGTCCTACCGTCTGTGTAAAAAGTTTACGAGACTGAAGAAGAGGCCAGGGCCCAATGAAAGGGCTGTAGAGCCACTGATGAACCCCAAATGATAGATGATGTAGGTGGTGGAGCAACTGGTAGTATGAAGAGCGGCAGGGGAAACTGAAGTACTCAGAGAAAACCTTCCCTAGCGCCACTTTATCCACCACAAATCCCATATGACCTGATCTTTTTTCTTATTGTTAGTGGGGTGGGACTAAGTCTCTTTTAATGGCCGCGCCACAGCTCATGCGGTTAGTCGCTGGNGAGGGTGATTGTGGATCAATTGGTGGAATGAAGATTGGCAAGGGAAACCGAAGTACTAGGAGAAAACCTGCCCCGGCGCCACTTTGTCCACCACAAATCCCACTTGACTAGAGCCGGGATCGAACCCGGGAAGCCAGCGACTAACCGCTTGAGCTATGGCGCGGCCTTGCTTGAAGTTAGTTAGATGGTTAGTGAGTCGGCCGTCGGTTACAAGCCGAATGAGCTACATTTACCGGAATGTGCGGACAACTGCCACTTCGTGAAGGAACTGCCCTTTCAGCACTCTATTTCGCTTTGGCTGTGGAAACAAATCTATTCAGTGTGTTCTGGAAGGAACACGTACGTTACTGGGAATAGTATTGTCACGATAATCCCACTTCTGATACCAGTTTGTCACGTATCCTGGTAACGCGACAGGAAAATAATGGTTTCTGGACTAGACGAAGCTGTTTATTGGGTAAGCCGTTTACAATTGCAATTACAGTCACTCAGAAATCATGTCTCAAACACGATGCCGCCTGGCTAGTCTGTCGTCTTCTGGTTCCTAGCCGAGCTGGTTTCTTCTGCTCTCAGCTCTGCTCCGTTCGCCTCTGTCCTGTTTGCTCTCTTATATTCTAAAGTCGGACTGCCTAGAAAACGCATTCTTCAAGGGTTCCGTTTCACGTGTTCTATCCGCCGTTAGCTAGTGTATTCGTTGCCGCGGGAACTTCACTAGTTCTGGTTTTTCACTTGAGTTGCAACGTCTGTTGTGAATGCGTTGTCGCGTGAACCAGTTTCACTGTCACCTCGACAACGATACAGAACAGTGGATACCGAGTCGTTGTCCAACAATGGACTCCCGTTGTGACTAAGATATTCTGGGTTTTAGGTGGCACGCCACAGTATCTTTCAATTATGGGGAGATAATGAAAGTAAAGGGATTTTACTAGTAAATTTGGATAGCTTCTAAATTATTGATTTTTAAACATAAAATCTTACATTCACAATCCTAAACAAAATACGTGATCGTGTAGCTAGTGCCACAGAACAACCTCGGACTCCTGAGGCAGCACATGGATACCCAATGTTATGTACGTGCAATGTGTACATGAGTTATATGAGGGAAAATCTGGAGCAAATTTGAAATAATTTACAAATAGTATCACCCTCATTTAGCACTGTCATAAAATAAAAATAAGTAACTTAGTGTAACGACTAGTTTCAGTTTTGTTTCCAAGGTTAATGAGCATATAATTACGTAAACATTTTCACGCGGAAAACTACTTTACCATACCTGTGGCCCCACATTACCTTAGTTATTTTTAGCTTAGAGAATGACATTTTTCCTGAATGTGAAATGTACTTTGTGGCAGATACGAAAATTCAATAACTCTTCTTGTAAGAAAGACGCCTTCACTTACGTAGCTTCAAGATCGGGTTTGCCAATGTCTCAGGTGCAAAATATCTTTCCGTCTGGATAGTAGTGTAGGGAGTGGTATTAAATGGCGATCGGCCCCTCTCCTCCAAAGACCACTTTGACTCTGCCCTACCTGGTGTTGCCGCTGCTGAAATTGCTATGTCGTGGCTGGTTTCGGCTTGACCCGGCTCCACCGTTTCTTCCTTCAGTTGAGATTCTTAGTGGTTGGATTTCAGGATTGGACCCGATAATATGGGCGCCAGCAAGCAGCTAGAGTAAGTGGACAAGGAGTGGGCACGTGGAAGCTGACGGTGGGTTTGACTGGCTAGTGGAGACGAGTCTTTCTTCAGGTCGAATACGGGTCAGGCTCGGACAAGTGAGGGTGAAACACGTCTAAGCAACGCAATGCACTTTACACCACAACACTTTATTGCTGTTCCCGCTATTAACATGAGACAACTTTCATCACTGCCATTAGATTTGATACTCTCGTCACGTGACTGACTACACACTTAGCGGGTATGTTTCGAGCTGCGAAGGATAGCTTACTTACTAACGACACTTGGCTTCGTAAATTCTTACAACCTGATTTAGTTTCGGCTAACTAGCCGCGGGTGTTGCAACTCCACAAAAATGTACTTGATCAGCTCGCCAAATTCCTTGGTACCGCGCTCTTGTTGATTAAGCTATATCTCGGCCGCGCCATAGCTCAAGCGGTTGGTCGCTGGCTTCCCACCGCGGCGGCCCGGGTTCGCTCCCGGGTCTGATCAAGTGAGATTTGTAGTGAACAAAGTGGCGCTGGGGCAGGTTTTCTCCGAGTGCTTCGGTTTCGCTTGTCAATCTTCATTCCACCAATTGCTCCACAATCACCCTCACCTATCATCTGGGGCTGGTACAATAGGCCAGAAGTGCCCGCAGTACAAGGGACTTAGTCCCACCACACTAGCAATAAAAAAAACTATATCTCACTATGAGTCCTTATGAGAGCGAAAATTTTGGATTTCATAGAATTATCTTTTTGCGCGAGTGATGCGGGGTTTGCCTCCGCCAAGTTCAAAAGTTGATAGACGACTAAACTCTTAAACTGACCTCTCTTCTGAATTAGAGGTCCTCACTGATTTCTATCTGCCTAATCTTCTCTTCCCCTAATTTCCCTGATAGGCTGATTCAAATAAGGGGAGTTGGTTTAATTTTTGTTCCGGCCAATGACAGACTATTTTTAAGGGACTTTCGCCCTAAAAACCAAACGGCGAAATTGACAGCGATGCAACTTATGAGGGGTCGCTAATGATCTCCTGGCACTCCCACTTTTGACTTACGGCTGGTAGAAACTGTCACTTCTCGAATTCTCAAAGTGTCTTGACGATGTAAGTCAAATTCTCAATTTCTAAAGAATCTCAGTGGGGTTTCTTGAAGTCTCACTTCCTGCTCCTGATTATGATGATGGAGAATTGGGGGGAATGAAGATTGGCAGAGGAAACCAAAGTACTCGGAGAAAACCCGCCCCAGCGCCACTTTGTCCACCATAAATCCCACTTGACTACACCCGGGATGCGGTGGGAGCCAGCGACTAACCGTTTGAGCTATGGCGCCGCCCTTTTTCTCCCTTCATGAAGATATATCTTAATTTTATTTATATAGGGTGGTCTCTAGATATAAAGATATTCACGGGGAAACGAATATTTCCGTGTCGATATCGGGGCCGTTGTCCCTTAGAGGGAAGTTACAAGGGCATTGATGTCCCAAAACAGGAATAGTAAGCAGAACAATGAAGAACAGAGTGTATGGAAAAAAGAAAAGCACTGTACACTGAATTATAAGCGTCTTCATAAATTCGAAAATTCGACTGAAATTAGTATGCTCCAAGAAGCAAGGCGGGCTGCCTTCATCCTGTCACCGTTAGAGAAAACAGACATCCCCACTTAACTTCACTAAGAACAAGCTTTACCTGTTTGTATATTCTTCGTTTCAGCTGACCTGTGCTCTTCTCATAACAGCTGTGATGACCAGCGAGGCATCATTTGGTGGTCACGAACAGTAAGTACTTCTCTGCTCGCAGACCTGTAAATGTTTCTCCATTAGGAAAGTAAGCAAATGCAGTGCCCATCTGCGTGTTCTGGATCACTGAAACTGCATTACTTTTCTATTGATTGTTCCTTTAAAATATTATTGAAATTTTTGTGCAGACAGAATTTTCTAGTTTTCTTGGAAAGAAGTTATGTCCTCAGCAGACACAAACTGAATGTTATTATTGTAAACAAATTAAAACAGATGACAGGGCTATAAATTCCATTGGCGTTCTCTCGTGAATACGTAATAAATTTTCGTGTACCATAAATACAAAGTGTTTCTTGGCGAGCTCAATCACTATTAGCTTCTCAAGAAGATATCTGCTCCATACGTTTACTTCTTTATAATTCAATTGAATTCTTGAATTAAAATCTTTGTTTTCTAAGGTGCCCATAGGTTAACTATAAGCATGAACGGAGAAAGAAAGAATACAAGCTAGCAAACACAAAAGAATAATAATTTTTTTATATCATTTTAAAACTGAAAGAACTGCCTCTGTGGTCTAGTGGTCAGAGTTCCTGGCTACATATCCAGAGGTCTCTTGTTAGATTCCCGGCAGTACAAGATTTTTTGAGAAGCAGTGGGTCTGGAACGGGGTCCGCTCAGCCTCGTGAGGATAATTGAGGAGCTTTGTCAAGGAAATAGCGGCTCCGGTCTAGATAACCGAGATAAACGGCCGTGGGGATCCGTTGCGCTGGCCACGCGACACCCTCTGTCCGCAAAAGTTAGCATTAACTTCGCCGACAAGTGAAGGTCGCTCGGTCGGTATTGTTTTCTTGCGGACTACAGGCCATAGCGTTCTCTTTTTGTTTGTAAAACTGAAAGAAATTTAAGTTATAATATTATTATTAATAATAATATTAATATTGGGCCACGACGTCATGTACGGCATTCAAAAACTTTCCTTCTCCATTCATCATCGTGTGAAAGCGCATTTATTGCAATTAGAGGTTCGAAATGGAGTTTCCTGCATTCAGGATTCCACAAAGTAGCTAAGTAATACCAGTGTTTTGATAGTAATGATATCGGACGCGTAATCAATACAATTCGACGTTATTTAAAAATAACATTTGTAACAATAACTCACATGGTACTAACGCGCTGAGTATCCATTCTTGCGAGTTTGTATCGCAACAGACCTCGGCTTCTGCCGCTTCTGTTACTGAAGTTAAAGTGAATTCTTCACGCCGAGTATGCTTTTTGAAGCACAAACACCATCTTTGGTCTATATCAAGGTCAGATTACACTTCTAAACGCATTACATTTCAATTTTCATAATAAGTTCAAAATGAGCCAAAAGATAACTAATTTGACGTAGCCAAAGGTTATGTCAGAACATAAAACACACTTAATTTGACGCAAAAGTCAAATCAACTGAGTTTTTTAATATGCTGTACCGTTCAAAATATTGGAACCTGGTACTTCAAAGAAGGGAGCATAGCATTTGTTTTTCTTTACAGAAAGAAACGCCATTTGTAGGAGAGGGAACAAACGTTTTGAAGTAAATGCTTTCTGAGGAATTCCTTTGTTTTCTTTCTTGACGTACTTCCTCATATCGAGGTTAATGCTCAGCCTGTGGGGGGGGGAGTAATGTGGGACGGAGGTTCCACATTAGTGAGAGAGGCTGCTTCATGTACTCTTAAAGAACTCCATGTTTCATGCACGTCGTGTTTAAAATGAGATGGGCATGGCAAGTAGCACGTATGTGAGCGACGAGAAACGGACACAGTTGTAAGTTGGAAAACCTAAAAGTGAGAACCCATTGGGTGATTTAACATACGTGGGAGGGCAACATTAAAATACATCTTAAACAAGTATACGGGAAATTAGTTAACTATATATGCAAATTTTACTAAGTTTAATCTGAGAAAGTCTGTTTATGTAATAAAGTTCATATGAAATCGTATCTTTAGGCTTGTTATTGAAAATTGAAGCTGCATATATTAGAAGAGAATGAAAGATTTGTTTTGTTTATTACAGTTCTCACAGAAATGTACTGAATATACCAGGCAGACCGATAGATTAGCGCCATTAGCACAGGCTGTTCTGGTTGCATCCCATTCCCAGCCTATATACTCGTATTTATGAAGATTCAGTACTTGTAATCCCATTGTATTCATTTTTGAAGGCCGGCTGTGGGAACCAGTCAGGTATGGGACGAAACTGCTTTCCAGCAAAATGTAGGGCCGGTGGACAAATCCCACATCCTGAAATAGGGAGCAAGGAAATAGTTCAAATTAACCGTGGGGAGGAAAATCAGTTGGTCTGTCCTGAATCGCTCAACTTTCGGATTACCTTGCTCAAAATATACATTGAACTGAAGCTGATTATTTCGAAATTGAAAGAAAATAAATTTTGCTTAATGAGGTGTTATACATAAAAATGCATGCACATAAAAGTATCAGTTAACTGAGTTCACGTTTTCTTCTAAATAATGACCTTGAAGGCTAGAAAAATAAAAGTTGAATCGGCATATATCCTTTTAAAATAAGTAAAATGTCATTTATCTTAAAGTGTCTGTGATAAGTTGAAGTGTAAATTGCACGCCATTGCATTTAAAACAGTAGCCGAAACACCAGAAGTTAACAGGCATCTGAATGCACGTATCGAGATGGGGCACAGAGGGAACAAGTTTTGGAATCTTCCTCTTGCATTGAAAGCGGGGCATTTCTTGAGTCAGCGACTGTCACCCACTGAAAGAAACACTTTATTTCATGGAGTCAGTTAAGTTGTACTCTGTGAAAGTGATGTAAGGAAATTATTCAGAGATGTAGATAAGCGGAAAACACTACATTATTTTTCCGCACTGGGGGAAAATTATTTACTGAGACATCCGAAATTCTGAGCCTTACAATAAGATTCAAATTTATTTAAGATTTATTTAGAAAAGAATTGACAGGTTAGCCTTGACCGTTTCTCCTGCACATGTGCAGCACAGTCTGTAGCATGAATACTATAATGTTTCATGACATTTGCAAGGTTACGACTTACATTCATGCAGGGTTGGAATTTCTTTCACAGTCATATCAATATCTGTGTTCTGCTTTATGCCTTCGAAGTTTCTTAACTTTCAGAATATTGATTCTGTATTCTGGGATATAACGTCATGTAGTCCGTTGTGAGTCAACTGACGTTTCGGAGGAACATGTTGTCCCCACATTCAAGATCGAAGAATACGCCAAGCAAGACACCGGCTGGACTACATAGTTCTATATCCCGAAGATAACCACTGCTGAGAGAAACTCAAATCCTACAGCTGAAAAAAATATCCACGATTCTACATAATAAAAAAATTCTGGGGAGAAAAAATCTCCTACTTTCCTTTTATACGACAAGGACCGCACAGAAAATGACACGTCCAATAAATCTTCTATTGTTGAGTGTATTTCTTTTACCATGGGAACGTGTTTACCTAGACATTGCCTAGCAAAAGTAAGGGGATACATAGACAAGCAGTCTGACGGAAGGTGTTTTTGAAATACGCCATTGAGATGGGCTCAGGTGCAATGATATACATACCACGTTTAATATGTGTTCTGACAATAAAGTTCACGAACTCATCGCGGTAAAACTGCTACATACCTCATTGCTGAATACCACTGTGGTGGCCTTCAAAGTGCTCCCCTGGGGAAGCTATGCACCGATGCCACCCTCCAAAACAATTTTGGAACTGGTTTTGTGGAATAGCCTTCAGAGCTGCCGTCGTATTACTCCTGATGTCATCAATGCCATCAAAATGCCTCCCTTTCAGTATTTCCTTTATCTTCGAGAATAGAAGAAAGTCACTGGGGGCTAGATCCGGTGAATAGGAGGGTGTTCCAGCACAGTCATTTTTTACTAGCTAAACACTCCCTCACAGCCAGTGCCGTATGAGCAGGTGCATTTTTTGTGGTGAAAGACCCATGATTTGTTGGCAAAAAGTTCGTGTCGTTTCCGTCTAACTTTATCACGCAGCCTTTTCGGTACTTCGCAATAGTGAACTTGGTTGATTGTCCAGATGGTACAAACTCTTAATAAACAATTTTTATATAAAAAAATAGCGAGTTCCCGACTTTTATTGTCAGACCTCGTCAAGATTGGGCATTCAGAAGTTGATGGGGGCAGGGTGTACAGACACGCAGAGAGTGTGGCGATCTCATAACCTTACTTTTATTTTTGGCCTACTTTTTTTTATTTTGAAAAAATAAAAGCAGGCTTATGCGATCACCGTGCTGTCTGTGTGTCTGTGTATCTCCTGAGTGTCATGGCACCTGAGTTCCGCCCATTAGCCTGCGTGTTTATGTGTGTATCCTCTTACCGCTATTAGGCAATGGCTAGGTAGACATGTCACAGAGGAAATGAACACACACGCATAATTAGAAGAATTTTTGAACGCGCATTTCAGGAAAGTAGGCGGTTAGTTCTTCCCAGAGCTTCTTGTTTCAGAGTAAGGAAAGTAGGGTAAGAACGAAACGTCGCAGATAAGATTCTTCTCCATAAGAGTGGAACTACAGAGAGGATGTTGCTCCAGAGTTAAAATATTACGGCTAATGAATTATATGTGACCTACATGACTATTCCATTGTTAATTAAGGGCTACGGCGTTGACTGCAAGCAAGGCTTATGCAATCGTGCGAGATGCAAGCCCTTATCTTGTCAACTGTTTCACCTACTTCATGAAGAAAGAGAGCAGAAGGTCTAGTGATCAGAGTTCCTGGCTACATATCCAGAGGTTCCGGGTTCGATTCCCGGCGCTACCAGATTTTCTGAGAAATAGTGGGTCTGGAACGGAGTCCATTCAGCCTCATGAGGATAATTGAGCACCTATTTGAAAATCGGTCTAGAAAATCGAAATTAACGACCTTGTAGACCTCTTACACTGACCACGTGACACCTTCTATCCTCAAAAAGTTGGCAATAACTTCACCGACAAGCGGGGGTCGCTCGGTCAGTATAGTTCGCTTGCGGACTACAGGCCATGGAGTTTT